ATGTACTGCAATTAAGTCACTATTTAAAGAACACTCAGTTGTGGATATTTCTTCATGAGCTGTAGTTATATATGTATTGCATGCTTCATTGTTTGAAAGTGGCAATTTTGCAAAATGTTTTCAAATTTGCCGGGCTAGCGCACTTATTATTTGCTGCGCGCGGCGTTGGCTAAAAATAATGACGCCGTCCGACCGGAAGTGAAATTGCACGTCCTTAGCAACGCGCGAGATCACGCCAAAGATAGTTCACTGGGCCCTTAACAAATTTTAAAATGACGGCTCAAAGGGAAGTAAAAAATCCATTGGACGCCACTTACCAGTTTTAAGAGATTGATTTTACGAGTTTCTACTATTAGTCTCGATTAAATTAGTTTTTCGAGTTTCCTGCGACAGCTTGCAGAGTGATGCGTTACCAGTATCTCTCGATGTCCATCTCTAGGCAACAGTCTCAACAAATTTAGCTGCTGGTAATAAGTGTCCCGTCAGACGCCCGTCAGTGACGCATATCAAAATTTAATTGAAAATATCAAATGGCAAGCAACCCACGGTCGTCTAATGGAAGCTAGAATGTAAATTAATTTAACGCCCACGACCCAAGAATGGAAGCTAGGTAGTTTGACTATGATTTACATGCATGATACTTCATTGCCCCCGCAGGGATTTCGCCCAGAAGGCGAAATCCCGAGGAGGCACTCTAGTAACTCGCGCGTATATTAAGGAAAGTACTTACAGTTGAAATATACAGTCATACAGTCAATATAGAAAAAATCTCGATTTGCTTGAACAAGGGCCGCGAGGAATCGGTAGGTAATGATGACGTTTCTATTCTTTACGCCCGCACGTACGAAATGGTTAAGGTGACGTAAAGACAGAAAATCCCGAAGGGACCGCTCAGGTAGATTTTGTGACATTTATTGTGCAGTCATACTTCGATAATCTTTTGCGTTACGCAGTGACATTCTGTGGAGCAGTTGTTTTGAAAGTAATGGACCAAAGGACGCTCGTTAAGCACAGATGAGGTAATAAGGTGCATTTAACTGTGTATATATAAAGACTCGGAGAGTTTGCCAGACACGAGTTCACAAATCTTTGATTTATGCTGGAGACCTTGCCAGAGGGTCTTAATGGGGTGGTGGCTTTTACGGTTATCGGCTAATATTTTGGCTCTTTTACGGCTATCGGTTAATTTTTTTCAGTTACGGTTAACAAAAAAGTTAAAAATTAATTTCTTTTGTTGCAAAAGGTTAAATATTAATAAACCGGTGTTTTTTTTTATCTTTAAAGCAAAGTAAAGGTCTTATAATCATCTCGGGCTTAAATAAGTTATCTTTTGAAACATTTTAATATTTGGTAGACCATACCACTTCTAATATTATTTTACGTATAGAATTGTAAACTACGAGAAAGGATTCAATACAAGGGCATACACAATTTAACTTACGTCATACATTCTTACATTTACTTGTAGGAGTGGCGTCCTGTTTGTCCTTATATGGTGTTATATGCCTGTTAAATTGTCTCAAAATATAGCTATGCTTGATGCCTCAAAATCCTTCAATGTACAGTCTAGCTTGCCTCGGGTACCTTTTTTGCCTAGACATCAAACCGTGTCCACACCTCGACTTGCCTTCCGGACCTTGTTACTACTGGCTTACTAATGATAAGATCCTCTGAGTCACTATCCGTATCAACCTCGCTGATTTCAGAATCGCTTTCGTACTCCTCCACCTGGTTGAAATCAGCAGCAGACGCGAGCTTCACTTGCGGAATGTTGGAATCGCTTATAAAACTTAATGACACATTGGAGACTAGAGGGGTGATCTCAGAGGAGGCAGGGAGGGTTCTGTCGTCTTGGTCATCTGGAAATCGTACCTTTGCAGTAACATCCGGCTTTGGCTTGGCGTACGCTGCCGGGGGCAAGGGTCCTGCCTTGTCTTTCGTCGTTTCACTCCTCACGGTTCTTTGCCTCACCGGACGGTAATTCTCCAACCATTCCTTCATTATTTCTTCATCCTTTTTCGATAGCCCCTCACAAGGAAGTGGAGTCATAAACTGCACTTCCTTGAATGACATTCCCGTTTGGGGCACTGTGTAGTAGGAAGATGGATGAGTATATTATTTAGCCCCCCATTTAGTTATTCGCTTTAAAGATTCCTTCGATATCGTACCAAAGTCTATCGCATATTGAAGGGCGCTAAATGTCTCATGTTTAAAATGCGATACCGCATGTAGGTTCTCTACTTGTGTTGTAAGTAAAGTTTGCCAGTCAATGCTATCTTTGTACTCTGGGCTGACATTTGTGATATTTCTTATGAGGTTGTTTACACCATTCAACAGGAGCTCGACAGAATCTTGCGTCTTTTTAGACACAGTTCCTTGAGGACCATTCGTTGCTGAACCTTCTTTGAGGTGATTTGTTTCTTTTACATTTCTTACCGTAGATTTGATGTAATCGTTCACCTTCTCAACATTCTGACTGACCTCCTCTGGCGTAATTGTCTGAGAAGTACTACCTTTACAAACTATGCCAAAGCTGTCATATAAAATGCCCAGGTGACTTAGAAAGTTCGTTGTCCCTGACAAACCAGTAATCAGCTTGATTTTCCCTGCTGCCGCATCCGTTGTGAAAAGCGTATCTGCAACACTACATATTCCATGCACTTGGACAAAGCTGCAACTTTTTTCAGTTCCGTCCTGTTCTCCTTCACGTCCATCTCCGACAAGAGTATCAACTTTTTTGGTCAACGGATTGTAACGCTTGACTTGACGAGCCTCAATGTCTGTGAAGACTAGTATGTCATTAAATTTTGCTACTTTCTTGATCTTCTTGGAACTGTTAGTCATATTCTCAAGAATAGTCATGACCTCGCCGGTTTCCATGCTAAAACAATACAGGCCACCGTTACATTGGCCACTTTTTGCCACTGTGAAGTAAACATCTGGAGCATTAGAGACTGTCATGGATTCCAGGCGATAAGCACCCTCTGGATATCTTACGAGTTTCCTCGATTTGCCTTTTATAGTGACTCCATCTCTTTCTAGCTGAATCTGATAGATAGCTCGGTGACCATCATCGGCGCACAATAGTATGTCATCACTAACCATACACAAAGCTGCAGGCTTTGAAAGCATCACATCAGTTTGCAAAACACATTTCTTCACCTTGGCTTCTAGCTGGTCTAAGTGCTGAGAAAGGCGCTTGCGTAAAGTTGGAACGGTTCCATCCAGGGAGAGGTTGTAGTTACTCAGTATTCTCTCCAGATCAGCACGTGAACGTAGAGAGTTGGGGTCAAGTCTAACGTTCCCTTCAATGTCTTTAAATCTTACGCACGCGTTACCACGCTCTGCCATAAAGGCTACACCTCTACTGAAGCATAGATCTCTCGCATCTTTCAGCCCATTTTGAAGTTCTGTTACATCGGCTGGTTGGTGAAGTCTTATCTTGAGTAATCGAGAGCAACAGGAATCAAAATCGTAATCAAGTGCCAAAACACTACCAAGAGGTCCAGGAGAGATAGCAACAGGATGACGACAAACACCTTGTTGATTTGAGGTCCAAAATCTATACTTCTCCGGAACAAGCGTGTGTACCACAAGTGCCACCTTTCTTAATACTTCTACCACCTCAGGTCTGGTTAGTCTCACTATTGGCTCGACTGCCATCCTATCTTTATTTCTGACGCATTCTAAGGTCAGCAATTTTCTCAAAGGTTTGCGGACATCACAATCTGTTGAGTCTCTCAACGTGCGGATTAATACGAGATTAGACATTTGTCCATTCAGATCTATGAACCAGTTAGCCCAGCTGCATTTGAGACTCTTACCGATGTGAACAACATCAGGGAGAGGGGTCAGGAGCAGAAGCTCAGGCGGCATGTTGTGGTTTTCTGACATCTTCTGGATTTCTAAAAGAGCCTGCTTATTACATTTCTCGCAGTCTGTAACAACAGCCAGAACTGCGACTTTTCTACATTGAATAGACTCCTTTAGGCAGGATTCACAGCATCTCAATGCTGGTAAGTAGGAGACGTGACCTTTTCTTTGGCAATCTTGGCAGATGGCTTTCAGTTGGAGACAGGTGTCACATTTACTGTTACAGTGCGCATTTTCATGTTTAACGATGTGGTTCTGCAGAGACTGCTTCGTCAGACAGCGTTCACAGACTTGTACAGTTTTTGCTACCCCAAGCATCTGCGACAACATCTTTACACCAGATACGGATTTCGGATGGTAATGAACACCAACTGGCATCGTCGGCTGTTGTCGACTGACGTCATAAAAGTAACTTCAGCGCTTGTAATGAGATTTTTTTTTAATTTCTTGAGGGTCCGCAACAGCGTGGTCGCAGACATAATTCCAGTCTACTTTAAAGGTTAAGCCAATGATCCTTTTCTGCCTGATATCGAATTCTAGGCCAGGTTTAAGAACTGTTCCATCCATAGCCAGCGATACTCCTATGACTTGGACATCGTCGCTTTTCACTAAATAGTTGATATCAGCTTTCGGGTGATCAGAAAACGCATGAAAAGATTGCAAATGAGGCTTAATTATCCCACTATCCGTTGTATAACCTGCTTTGCAATGATTAGAGGCATTAATGGACGGACCACAGAGATTAAAATCTGCAAAAGTTGTAAACTGTTTCTTTCCACCGCGTCCAGTTCCATGAAATCCAGGGCCTCTTACAAAATTTCTCGTTCTTTGACCCCCTAGGTACTTAATGGTTTCAAAAAACTCACAGACCTCATGGTCCCAATGGAAGTCTGACGCCTTGCTGGAGTCGATCATGGCAAAAGACGTTGTATCGTTAAGAAACTTGTAATAAAGGCATTCTTCTGGGATCTTCCCTTCTTTGATAAGTTTGTTCAGCTTTTCGGCTAATGGATGAGCACTCTCTACGCAGCTGTGGAATACAAAGACATCTATAATCGGTTATTTGAATTTTCACTTGAGAAACACAACCTTTTTGCAAAACCGATAAAACACATTATTGTTTAAGCTTACACAGTGCAGGATATGAGATCATCGGCTATATGCTCTGTGTCTACTTCACCGCTTGTGGTAGGACCTTGGTTATTTTTGTCCTCAGGCTCCTCTGACTCGCATTCTGATATCTTGGAACATTCTTCATCGTCGGAGAAATCCGGGAAAGTTGTAACGAAAGGGCTATCGATATCTAGATCCTCATTCTCACTGTGAAATAAAAAATTCTAGGTCAACCTGTTCGCACAGATTTCTTCTCGGCTATTCCTCGCCTGATTGTTGTAGTTGTTGTTTTTACTTTCGTGTTATCGATCGAGTAATTTGATAGCACTTTTTGTCGGATAAAACAACCAGTGGTGTTCAAGAAACGTACCACAGGATCTGGAAATAGCTTTAATATATTCACCTTTATTTGCTAGAAATTCTAAAGATTTCATCATAACTAAATCGAGTAGAAGGGAAAAAAAAAACACCGGAAGAGAGCTTTGAGAGCTTTGTCTCTTTTTAAAGTGCTGTTTGCAACTGTAACGATAGACAATAACACGTCTATGACATAAACTAGTGATCTGCAATAGATACACTTATTTTTCTAACCACACAAATAAACAATGTCAAAAGTGATAGGCTGATGCCGTTACTTCTCTGAAACGATTGCGTCATCGCCGTCAAACTGTTCTTGGTCGTTGTCATTTAACCCAGTCTCAGCAAAGCTAGCACATGCAGGTGTAGGTTTTGCAGTTAAATTGGCGAAGAAATTTTCTAATGTTTTAACTCCTTTAACCTCAGCTTTTCTCTGTTTCTGGCACATATTGAAGTGAGCTGAAATAGGAAAGAATATCAGAAGCGCTAGTTTGTTTTTATTTGTAAGTATCATGATTGTCACTAATCTACTTTTATGATCGGATGAAAATTCTACCTTTATTTAAAGGTCAATAATAGGAAAAGGAAATCGCTTAAATGTGTCCGTTTTAAAAGTTGACTATTGACTACTTTCTTACAAGGCAAGTAATGTTACATATTTTATTATGATAAAACTGAACCTACTTCTTTTGAAGAATGATATCTTCCCTGCCGTGGCTCTGTCAAGTTGAACGGTATACGACTTGCAACAAAGACCGCATTTGATTTTACCCTCGTTTATTGGTGTCGAACCTTCAAGTTTTGCAAGTTCTGAAACAAAGAACAACAAAGACCTGAAATTTCCATATAAATGTTTGCATAGTAGTCTGTTAGGTTGACGTAGCCTTATATAATTAAGTCGTACTCACTGAATTACATTCTGTACACTTTAGAAAGTGTAGGGTAGATGGATAGTGAAAAAATATCAGTTAACAGGCTGGAATGCATAGCCATTTACAATTGGAGAATAGAAAACTATTAATACTAAAAAATATAACTTATTTAGTCATAACTCTCATGTTTGCTATAATTATTTTAAAATGTAAAATGAAAAATGATAATTTGTATTTAATGATTTCATTACCTGCATTAAGCTCATTTAGTTCGCTTAGTTGTCTGGCAGTTCGTGTAACTCCCTCGTTATCTTCTTTGAGTTTTTTTGCAAGCTGTTTGTCTTCTTTTGCATTTTGGCGCGATTTCCTCTTCTTTGGCGCTACTGGTTCGTTATTCGCGTTGCTTTTTTTACTAACCTCTTCTCTTTTTATTAACACGTCAGGCTCTTTTCCCCACTGAAGAACAGACTGTACAACGTGAACTGAAAAAGGACGCGCAAATAAATTGAGAACTTGAACATTTCCGTGACTCTTAGACTCACATTTAAAAGTGTCGGAGCCAAGCTGAGAAGCACGGCTTTGAAGAACTTTGAGTATGAGATTTTTCGATCTCATTTTCTTAAAATGACATGTGCTCTTTGTTTAAAACGGAAAAAAAAGGTTTAAGCTATTGTCAGTGAACTAACATTTCTTTTGTGAGGGATGAAAATGATCATTCCTGATAACAGTTCATTATGAAAATAAATCAACTTCCTGTGAATGTCAGAGGCGTATTTTGCAGCTTCTATCATCTGTTGTTCACGTGAATCAATAATGCATCTGCAAGTAGGCATCCAGTTATATAAAAAACAAAAAACAAAAACAAAACAAAATTTCAGGGTCCAGTGTTTTTTACGATAGCGAAGGACTGTACAGAACGACTGTCTGCAGCAGCGTCGGGGAAAAACAGGGAATTGTTTCAAATTGACAATGTTTACCGGCAACGTGTTTTACAAACAGTGACATCTCTGTTAGTTGCTTTACTGGTATTTCGAGCGCACGACCTCCTGAAAATCACAAATATTAATCCCCAGCAAGAAAACCAGACTTTCGCTATGGAAACAATTAGCTCCCCAAACATTTGGGGAGCTAATTTAGTTTCTGCAATCCGCAAGATAAAAGTCCCGCAAAAATTTCGTGCCACGCGGTATCTTAGTACAAAATTCATAACTTTAAGAGTACTTACTGTTCAGCTCGCTTTCACTATTTGAGTCAAGCAACAGGGGTAGTTCCAGATCTAGCTGCTGCTGGGTCGATAAAGAATAATTTTCTATTTTGCCGCTGATTTTGGCGAGGCGGTAAAGTTTAAGGTCAAATGACCCAAGACCGAACTTCCTGGCTTGCTCGTTAAGACCAAGAAAGTCAATAACGTTTTTCTTGAACGTTGAAAGTGTCCGATGCTCTTCTTGGACTTTGAGTCTTGCCTTGTACCTTTCGATTGGCCTTTCCTCACCCGTTCGATAAAAACTAACAACAGCTTTCAATACCGACAT